ATCACACAGGGCTTCTGTCTCCTGGTTCCTGTTTATAGTCTTCGCATTAAGCCTGGGCACTGTCCCTGGTGGTCCTGAGGCCCCCCTCCCATTGTACTGTGTGCACCCATGAATGTGGAGGCCCAAGGTTGATAGGAACCATCCCCAATTACCCTTCTACTTTATTCATAAGGAAGGCTCCCTCAATCAAATCCAGAGCTCTCTGATATGGCTAGTCTAACTATCCCAGCTCTGGGGATCAGTTCCCTTGTTCCACCACCTTCTTGGACTGGAATTACACACAGGCTGCCAAATCTATCTGGCATTTACATGGGTTTCCAGGAGATTCACTCTGACCCTCACGATTATGCCGCAAGCTTCAGCCACTGGGCCACCCACCTCCAGCTTCACTAAGACAGGAATTTAAAAGGAGCCTGAAGCCTTGTTCATGCTCTCAGCATCTCCTGGTCTAGAATGATCTGGTTAAACCCTAGAGACATGGAAAGGGCCAGGAGGGCAAAGTGATACCCATAGATCTTTCTCAGGGGCAACATGGGCTGGAAGGGGTCCAGGCTGAGTAGAATCCGCAGTCTAGTGAAGCCTCAGGTGTTCAAAGGGAAATCGCCCAGCTTCTTACTGGCCTGGGACTGGACCTTAGCTCCTAGTGTTTGCACGGTGCTGAGCCAGCTTCTCCAGCCCTCAGGAAAACTGAAAAATCAGTTTCCTACTAAAGACGACTGGACTTCGCACCAGCTGCTACGCCTGACCTGAGTTCTACCAACCTACATGGTAGAAGGAGAGAACCACCTCTTGCAAAGTCCTCTGACCTGTGCACGTGCACACATACACACACACACACACACACACACACACACACACACACGCATAAACATAACTATCTATCTATCTATCTATCTATCTATCTATCTATCATCTATCTATCTGTTGTTGGCTCCCACAATCGTTAAGTCCCAAAGAAATCACACAGAGGTCTACATTAGTTATAAACTGATTGGCCCATTAGCTCAGGCTTCTTATTAACTCTTTTAACTTATATTAGCCCATTATTCTTGTCTATGCTAGCGACATAGCTTGGTATCTTATTCAGCGAGGCAGTCACATCTTGCTTCTTCTTTGACTGGGTCAGGATTGCAGAAAGCAGAATTCTCTTCCCAGAATTCTCCCATTCTTGTCACCCTGCCTCTACTTCCTGCCTGGTTGTCCCACCTATACTTCCTGCCTGGCTACTGGCCAATCAGCATTTATTTAAAATATAATTGACAGAATACAGACCATTATCCCACTCTATCTATCTATCTATCTATCTATCTATCTATCTATCTATCTATCTATCATCTATCTATCTTTTTGTGGTGTTTGGGATTAAACTTAGGGCCTCAAGTGCTAGGCAGGCTCTGTATCACTAAGCCTTCTTTTTGCTATCTGTCTGTCTGTCTCTCTGTCTGTCTGTCTATCTATTTATTTTGAGACAGAGTCTCAACATAGCCTGGCTGTCCCAGAAATCACTCTGCATAGCAGGCTCGCCTTATATATACAGAGATCTGCCTGCCTCTGCCTTATGAGTGCTGGGTAGTGTTAAAGGTGTACATCACCACACACGGCATTTTATGCTTTTCACTTTGAGACAGGCTCTTGTATAAGTTTCCAGGCTGACCTTGAACTTATGATCTTCTTGTCTCAGCTTCCTAAGTAGTGGAACTACAGGCCTGGCTAAAATTATGGCCTTTTGAATAACAATGTATATAATGATATATATAATATAATGAGATAATCCTTAGAAAGACCCGCTAGCATTCCTCACTAACGTTTTGGGGTGGGGAAAGGTGAGGACAGGCGAGAGGCTCTAGGGGGTTGGATGTGTGTGCTTGGATGTCTGTGTGCACACATGTGTAGGGAAGACAATGGTGTTGACAGGCTGGGTGAAGGCCAAGAGATGGTATGCTGGCTCAGAGAGTGAAGAACTTGCCTCCAATCGTGAGGACTATACTCACCACATCAGTGCTGAGTAGGTGTGAGGTCACTCCCATGGTTCCAGTCCTGGAAAGCAGAACCAGGGGTCCCAGGACTAGCCAGATTATTTAGCTCTGAGTAGTTGTGTGACCCTACCTCAATGAATAAGTGTTGCTGGAGGTTTCTGTCCTGCCCGGTCCTGCAGCCATTCAGTCCCAAAGAAACACACAGAGATCTACATTAACTATAAACTGGTTGGCCTATTAGCTCAGGCTTCTTATTAACTCTTATAACTTATATTAAACCATAATTCTTGTCTGTGTTAGCCACGTGACTGGGTACCTTTATCCAGCAAGGCATTCTCATCTTGCTTGCTCTGTGTCTGGGTGACAAATGCAGACTGACTCTTTCCTCTTCCCAGAATTCTCCTGTTCTCGTCACAACAATTCTGCTTCCTGCCTGGCTACTGGCCAATCAGCGTTTTATTAAAACAATACAATATAAATGACAGGGTACAAGACCATTGTCCCATTGCAAATAAGAGGGAAAGCAATTGAGGAAGACTTCTCACATCAGCCTTGGGCACACACAAGCACACACAAGTGCATACACACGTGCACACCACCCACATAGATATACAGATAAAGAAAAAACAGGCACTGATGCTGGTGTGAGGCCGGAGCTGGGGTTGCTGCTCATCCTGCCTTTTCCCACCTGACCTGGAGGTCTTGAACGTCCCTGGACCCTGTAGCCTCCATGAGTCAGTTGGGTTTCTCAGTGATAATGAATTCTACCATGAATTTCTACCCCAGAGAAGCAGGATGGGTGTGGCTTGTGCTCAGTCTCGTGTGAAGGCTTGCACAGGTGAAAAGGCTCGCACAGGTGAAACACACTTGTGCTGAGCATCAAGTGCAGGGGTGAGGACAGGAGGTCACACAGCAATGGTGGAACCAGCATTTTATCTCTAGATCTGCCTGGGAGCAAGGCTAATGCTTTTGTTTCTCCAGTATGCCAGGGCATAAAAATAAAAATGTTTAAAACAACTTGAGTTTCATCTCCTCAACAGCCTGGCATTGGCAGGCTTGCTGCCCTCAAATGACGCTGAGTGTGAGCTCCTGGGCCCTCAATGGGCTACGGCCAACTTTGAATGAGGCTCTGCCCTTAGCGCTCTCTCTCTCTCTCTCTCTCTCTCTCTCTCTCTCTC